TTTATTATTCTTTGGCACTGTACAGGGAAATGAACAGGGATTTAGTCCCTTAACATGTACTTTACAGTCTGTTATTTGCAGAAACTAATTAGTGGTAGGAAATTAAAATGTTTCACTGCTAGATTTATATATATTATATTAATTGTATTATATTATAATAAATAAAATTAAAAACTTGTTAATTAAATTAATTTATTAAATAAAATTATTTATTAATTAATCAATAATTTTTAAATAATAAAAATAATTATTTTAAAAAAAATCAGAGCTATATAAAATTTTTTTTTGCCTTGTATATTTATTTACTATCGATAAGAATAATATCTTATATATTATATATATATATTATAAATATTATAAATATCATATATAAGATATTATTTGACACCTTTTTGATTTAACAGTTATCTATATTAATATAAAAGTTCAAATAATTTTTTAATATCTATTAATCTTAAATTAAAAAAAATTTAAATCCAAAAGTAAGTATTAAATTAAAAATAATTTTATATGTAATAAAATAAAAAATAAAAAATAAATAATGTAATCCTTTTAATAAAAAATTTCAGCCAAAATGTCTTTCTAATACAATTTGTGCTATACAATTCTTAAAAATAAGTTTAAAAAACACCAATATGAGAATGTATTCGGACATGCAAGTACTCAAGAAAACTCTTCAATCTTGAAGCCGTTATTTCAAATTAGCCCAAAACTGTAAAGACCTCATATCAGAGTTAGATACTACGAATGCAGTAACACCTGTCGGGCCATAAAAGATTTGACAGTAATGAAATGAGCTGACAAGCTCACGCTGGTGTATCCTTCATAAGTGTCCAATTTTTTTTCTAATACCTGTTAAGGACATTAATAACTGCAGATTCAGTAAGATTCTGAGTAAGACTTATATCCATCACATTTGCTCATACCTAGCGATTATTAGGTTGAGTACAAACTGTTTTCATTATACTGAATAAGTGGTAGATAATTGCTTTTTACTGAATTTTTTAAATTTTTTAACTTACAAGTGCGAGTATATAAAGTATTATAGTGTCAACTGACATACACCTTAACAACCACAAATGGTATTTAAAAATTTTAGAAAATTTTTTTTTCAGAAAAGAAGATAGAGATAAGGTTTCAGTTTTTGGTTGACATAAAAAAGCATTTTTTTGAGTATAATAAATGAAAGACTTTCTAAATATATATAGGTATATATATGGCGTTGTACATTTTATTCTGTTCAACCAAATTTTCATTGAAATCATTTCAAGCTATAAATCGCTATATTAATATATATATATAATATATTAGTAACTGGAACATTGCTAAACATATATCATGATGATTTAATAATTCAAGCAACCTTTGAGAAATTAAAATAAATTCCAAATATTAATTGTCAAAGAAAACTGATTTTTTATATAGTATGTCATGATATAAGTATAAAAACTTACTTAGAAAATATTTTTTAATTATTTTTATTATTATTTCCAAATCTCATTTCTGTGTTTGATTTATTGCTGCTCGAAAAATTCTTTGTGACTTTTATTAGACGTTTTCTATACGTTTATTAGACACAAATTCTGGAATAATTACAAGATTTTGAAGAATTTTATTGTGAGATACAAATTGTAAGTTTTGAATAAATTTTTGTAAGTACTATTTGCATTATGAAATTATTATTTTTTAATACAATAAGCAACCGTTTATATAATTTTAGTATAATATAGTCTCATTAATGCTTATGAAATCAATTTGTTATAATAGAATATATATAATTTCAAAACTTTCTAAAAATTTAACAGGCGAACAAATATTTTATTAGAATTCTAATAAATTAGAATTCTGTTAGAATTGATTCTAACAAACTTTGCTATAAGTTTGAATATATATAAACTAATTCATATTTAAGACAATTAAGATTTATTGGTTCCCCGATATTTTTAGCACTCCATATAATAAATAAATTATTTCTAAATTCGGTCAATCTGAAATAATAATATTTTGGTACCCCACAAACTTTAGTTATTGTCTATATAGATCGCTCTTTAGACTTTTAATTCATTATTAAGTATATATTGTCCAACCCAACCTATGTAATTTCGTAACTGAACAATTCGCTATAATCTTGTTTATCTAAAATAATAATAGCTAATGGGGTCTATTAAAATAGAATTCCACGCTTATATGTTATATTTAAGACTGAACCAACTGCTAGATCTAATATAACAATGTAGCATTTGCTTCATTAAAAATTTTTATGTATTCTTTAAGTCTAGTGTTGCCATAATAATGACTTAATGACATAAAATTGCTACTATATTGAAATAGCGACTTTTCTTTATGCAATCCATTCAAAACAAATAGCGTTCATTTAATTGTGTCTTTCTCTCTCCTCTCTCTTTCTTTCACGCATTCTCTCTCTCTCTCGCTCTATCTCTCTCGCTCTAACTCTCACTCTCTCGCTCTCGATTTCTCTCACCCTCTCTCTCTCTACTCACTTTCTCTCTCCCTCTTTATCTTTATCTCTCACTCTTTTGCTTCGGCAAAAATATAATAAGCACGTTTGAGATTTGAAAAATTTTTTCTGTACAAAAATTAATTCAAAAAGATATTATTTCTGTAAAAAAATATCCTATTTTTTTCTATAGTCATGTGCGAGTTTGAATAAATTGCTGGTAAAGTGAGGGAAATAGTAATTTATGTCGGTATAGCAGCGAATGGTGCTCTTTACCAGAATTTCGACTAGGGTAAATGAGATAAAAATTAGGTAAATTAGGTATTACAATTGTAGAAATTTTGTAAGATGTTTAATAAATAAATAAATTTCAAAACTTTTAACCAAAAATTATAAATTAGTGCAATAAATAAATAAATAAATGTTTATATACCTAAATGCAGTGCAACAAATCGCTAGGAAATTTCAATTTACTTTATCTCAATTAACTCGGACTCGCACACGGCCTTAATAAGACAGAAGATGTGGAACAGTATACATTAAGACTGAAAAGTTTTCGGAAATTCTCATTTAAAATTCGCGCGCTGTATATTTTTCGATATTTTAAGTTTATGTAGTTTGGCAGCACTGTCCTTAATTACTATGCCAAAAATGAGCTCGATCTGTCAGACAGTTCGTTTACGGCAGCTGTTGAAACCAGTTCACCTCAGTAGTGCGTTGCGAAATGTCTTCGACGGTCGTACGACCGTCCTGGAAGGCTTTGTACCACTCATAAACTTGAGTTTTCGATAAAACTGATTCCCCATAAGCCTTTTGTAGCATTCGCAACGATTCTGCACACGAAATTTCGTTCGAAACACAAAATTTGATGCAAACTCTTTGTTCAATATTTTTTTCCATTGTTTTTTTCGCAACGCCCTACTGAGGTGAACTGGTTTCAACAGCTGCCGTAAACGAACTGTCTGACAGATCGCGCTCATTTTTGGCATAGTAATTAAGGACAGTGCTGCCAAACTACATAAACTTAAAATATCGGAAAATATACAGCGCGCGAATTTTAAATGAGAATTTCCGAAAGCTTTTCGGTCTTAATGTTATAACAATTTCATTATTTAAATAATACTACTTTCTTTTGCTGACCATACATAGTGCATAACTTTTTTAACACTTAGTTCTTTCAATAACATAATATTATATAAGGCCTTAAACCCCACTCCGATCGATATTTTCTTTTACTTTTTGCAGCCTCAATATTTTTACTAAATCAGTATATAAAATTATATTAGTTTTATAGTGCACAGTTGAATCTATAAATAAATTTGATTGTTTAAGATAATAATATGTACAATAAAGTTCGCGCTTCAAAAAATTACCATTTTCTAAAAAGGAGTACCAGAGTAGCATACGGAAAAAAAGTACCAATTTTGTTACTAAAGTACCACATGTGGCAACCGTGCATATAAGTTTCTTTCGGTTTCCGATTTCCGTTTCGGTTTTGTTTCGGAGCTCTACTTTTACTTTTATAATTCTCCTCGTCTTTAAGTAATATAGTCAATATAAGACTATCAGATTTATTGTGGTTGTATAATATTAATATAAAGTTTTAGTAAATTTGTGTCTACACTGATATTGAATATATTCCATGGTTTTAAAATTGATCAGTATTTTTTATTAAATAATTATACTGGAACAGACCATTTCAGAAAAGTTTAATATTTGTAGGACAAATCTTTAGTAGTTTTAAAAATAAATTAACATATAATATGGCATTAAATTTTTTCCTAACTGATTAAATGTTGTTTTTGTTTCAGATATATATATTTCCACTTAAATTATCTGTAATGTGAAATTGTTAGTGATATGAAATTGCTATTCAATAATTTCAGGATAATTACAGTATTCATGACAAATTTCAAGTTGTGGTGTCAAAGTGAAAGTTAAGGATATTTTTAAGTAAGTACTAATATTGTAAGTTTTATCCAAAACAGTTTTGAAATATATTTCTCTTCAATAAGTTTTATTACTTAGTAGTATTTGTATAATCGAATTTATATATAGATCAACTTCTTCAAAAAAGTTATTTATTTATAATGTAAAGAAGTTAATTTTCCTTAATAATTTTTGAGGAAACACCTTTAGTCTCACTACTGATCAGTCAGATTTAGCCAAACAAGTCTAAATAAATATCTACCAAATTAAATAAATATTAAATAAAACCAATAGAACAAAACCCCTTAACTTAAATTTCCCATAGAGTCGAATTCCAATTAGTTAGTAGGGATAACTTCTCACAACATCTGCTTCAAACGTTAATCGAACATTGTTATTGATTTTGATACTACTCAATATTTTAAACAAATGTGTAGAAGTAATATTATTATAATAAAACCGCTAATCCATTGTAATAAACTATGTATATCATTTTTATAACGATTATGCCAGTAAAAATCTTTTAAGAACCCCACCATTTGTCCGTTAAGGACCAAACATTTACACAATAAAACGGTCTTTCTCTGCCCCCATCCTCCCGGCGTCTTTAGAAGTAAAGACTTCTAAGAACATCAATTTACTGATGTGGAGACTGAATGATAATCTATAATCAAGGCCCGCATTCAACTCTCTACATTTGTTGTCATGGACAACATTTAAGATGAGAGAAAGAAAGAACTTTCGATTAAAGTTTAGTCATGATAACGAGGCTTTTAGTCAAAAATACTGTCTTTTAGTAATAAAAGTCAAAATTTGCCTAGTTTAGGAGCAAATATATATATTTTGTTTTATATACTATAACAATAACATATTTTTGTCTTAGTGTACTTAAAATATTACCAAACTAAAAAGTATCAAAATAAAAGTAAAAACACAAAATTGACGAATTCTGATTTGGTTCTCTCCAAACCATGCCTCTATCGACATAACCAGAATTAGCGAAAAACTTACGTCCCCATTCGTCATATAACTATTTACTTAACATCACTCTCATCACTTGTTATCTCATCACTCAATTCCACACTATTAATATATTCATCTTTAAACTATAATATATTCGCTTATCTGATAGATCTAGAATGTCATGAAATCTAAGATGATTTAAAAAAAAATATTTGGTCATATCATTTTTATTAATTGTATACATAAAGTATATAAAATTTATTGTTTCAAAATTGTTTGAGAAACACGTCTTTGTAGCTGGATCACTGTGACCATAATTCTAAGGAATCCGATTTTGTGGACAGGAACAAGTTGGTAAGTTGAGCAAACTTTAAATTACTCTATATCACATTTATTCCACTTGATATTTTATATTACTACTGTTAGCGCAATGTTTTGCAATAATTATGATATTAGGAGCTTTTGTATATCTAAGGATATTTTTTTTTATAACTTTTACGGCTACTGTACCCATTTTACTTACTTTTGAAATGGTTAAGGATTATCAAACCATATAAACCATTTTTATTTCTGATTTGGAAGTAAGAGAGCAAGTATCTGCGCACCAGTTTATGAATAAAATTTAAAGATATGTTTTATGACGATATTTTTATAAATGGTCAATTGGAACGAATAACAATTACTGCCTAATCATATCATTGAAAAAAATATCAATTGGAAAAAGAGATTTTAAAAGCTTCAGATCCATAGAGGCTATTGCAACGACAGATAGTGACATCATATCAAAATCATGCAATGTACGATATTTCTTGTTTTCACTCCGTACCTTATCCATATATTAAAGAGATTCGATAAGTCTCTAAGTCTACTACAGTACTAATATTTATCTGAAGTACTGGGACCTTATGCTTTAATATGAGTAAATCAAATCCACAAATAGTTATAAGGTCAATACAATTGGATTTTGCATTAAAAAAGATACATTCAAATGAGATTATCCAATCGGTTAATGAGACATCTATCAGTGTGAAGAGTATTGAAATTCTTACAATGGTATTGCTAACTATTCCTTGATATTTTATAACGAATTATTTGTAAAGCACAATAAAGATTCTTTGATCAGTTATAATAGCCTACACCAGTCGGTAGTATTAGCTGTATTGATATTATACTAAAATTAACTTAATGTTTTAAAAATAAAAAATCTTTTTAAAGAATTTTTTTTTTCATTATAAATCATAGATGTTTTTAACGAAACTACAAATTGTTTCAGAGACACATTGCAGAGAAATTTGGATTCCAGAATATTATTGTTACTTCTGAAAATAACTGATTGTATATTGGACAATACTTTTAAATAACTGAGTAAGTAATAATATTTATTATTTAATAATTAATAAGTATTCAGATAGGCAGAATATTAATTAACAATATTAATTAACTTATAAGTCTAACATAATTTTAACACTCTTAATATATTTGTATTGTTATATACGGATAGTCTTAGTTGAATTCGAGAACACTATTTCATGTAAGTCCACTAAGCTATCTTATTTGGTCAAATCAATTTTTTAAACAATTTAATTGAATATCACTTTTATATGTGATATTCAGTGATATATTATATGTGATATATCACTTTTATAGCCATATAAACGAAAGCCTAACTAATTAACTACTGTACTAATTATCCCATTAGCAATTAGGATTATTAATGATTAGTATTAGGATTAGGTATTGGTATTAGGATTAGCAATTTGTATTATTTACGTTGAGAAAATTAATTGTGATATATGGGTTTGACTTTTGATACCAAATTCAACTGAAAGGAACATGTTAGACAAATGTATGCAACTGGAAAAATCATTAATGAAAAAATCATCAATCCTTTAAAGATAGCAAGTCCCGAGCGGAACAGGATCGTGCAGGAGTTATTATGGAGTAATAGTATCCACTAATCACTTTCTATGTCATTGTATGGGATTACAGACGAAACAACCTCAAAGTCTTAGACACGGTTTCTTCACTAACCTGAAAAATATAACAAAAATAGATTCTTTTAAAACTCCTCAGTTTTATCTGGAACACCAAATAGTTCAATAAAATAATATTAGAAAATAACAACGGCTGGTGTAAGTCAACTTTTAGAGACAACTTTGCGGGTATCACATTGGACAATGTTTACAAGAACAGTGTATGAAACAAAATATTTCTTTGTAGAGAAGTGATACCTGTAATGGAGTTGACAGACTGAGAAAATAAGCTGTACATGCTTAAGATGTTGAATGAAAGTTTCAGCAATCGACTATATGCCGACAATCTACTAAAGGTATGGGCATGCAGCAATAGAAATGATTTTGTGTCTATGATGGTAACAGAGCACCAGTCTTGCAGCTCCAGTCTATTGAGCTCAACCAGTGACTGGAGGCATGTACACCAAAATAAGATTGAATGTTATATGTGATGTACAAACCTTTTATTATGCTTACGTAGCATTAAGTAAATCGACGAGTTTTTACTTTATTAACGATCTTCAGATCTACTAAAAGCTGGGGTCGAGAAGATTTCTAAAAGTTCTATAGTATGTATATATAGTATATATAGTGTTCTATAGTATCTATAGTAATGATATCCAAACAAATTTTTAACCCAAACCGTTAATAGTATAAAAAAGAAGGAGCTCTTAAGCTTTTTCAGCAATAGTTGCTTATTCAAATCCAATACTAAGTAGTGTAAAAATACATTGTACCCTAAATCATTCTGCTATAAGTAAAACCGCGGATTCCTTCAGTATATTTATAACTGAGATAGTTAGTAATTCATATACATGTGTAATCACTTATTTATGGAAGTTTATGTGCTTGAAATCCTTAACTCGTGAAACAAGACAAGACAAGAGATATATCGTTTAGTAGTTAACATTTATACAAACCTATAAACCTATATATATAAACCCATTTATATTTTGTTGACTTTTACTTTAAACTTGTATAAAGTATCATACATGCTATTAGTTGGTAAAAACTGATAGTTAAGTGAAAAAAATAGAATTCAATCCAAAGCCTTCTCTGACTAATGTTAATTGCTATCAATAAATATTTGTCTATCATAAAAGTCTCTATGTGAAGGATATATTTCACAATAAAATAACTTCCACTATTTCTAGTAAATAATATCACGAACATAAAAAATGATTTAGATTAACAATTTTATGCTTTTAAATAAGTTTTATCTATATTTTCTAGCTTTTTTTTTTGTTTTTGTTGTGAATTCCGTAATCTGACTTTTATAATAAACGCAGCCACTTGTCATCTCTGACACCTCAAACAGGTACTTCACAACATTGCAGTAACACTTCATGACTGCTAACATCACACCAGTTCTTAAGCATCGTAAAAGTAAGCACTAAGCGCGGCTTTGCTTACAAAGTATTTATTATTAATAGTAAGAATGAAAAAACTAAGGCAGCAAGAACAAGAGAAGAAAAATTATAAGCCTAGTGAAACCAGATTTGTGGTTGCAATGTTGAAGTAGAAGTTGCACAAAAGAAGTGCCAAAGCACATTTTAGATATTTACCTCTATAATAATCATCGCTGAGTGAGATACACAAACACCGGCACAGACGGAGGCACCGAGAAAAAGTGTTTTAAGTCTATAATGACAGTAAACTGTGTGATGAAATCAGACAAAAGCCAGAACGGTTAAGAACAAACACAAACTGAGGCTGAAGAAAAAAATGATAATAAAGTAAAAAAGAAAAGAAAACAGTTAAATCAGCAAAAGTTTTAAACGTGAATGAAGTGAAAAGTGTGAAAAAAGTATCTTGACGGTTAGTAATTTAGATAAAATATAAAAAATAAAAAAAAATTAAAAAGAAAATGCCATATCATGGAGACGTCTGAAACACACATTTTACCGTTTGAATGGTTCGAATTTGAATATCGACATTAGAAGAACTCCAAGAACTCGACAACTCTAAGAAGAAGTTTAGAGGCACAAACAAAAAAAAAGACGAATAATTGAAATGAAGCTAAAATTTCAGGCAAAGCAACTTTTTGTGGATTGCAATAGACATGACGGCGGCAATTTTGTGATGACACTGAAGTTAATAGAATAATTCTATTTCACTAGAACTTTATAACCAA